TCTTTTCTCACACAAAAAACTTCACTATTGTCAAATACATGGACAAGCAGCAACAAGGCAAAAGGTATGTCTGTTACATGCAAAGTTATTTTGCTGGTTTCATATCTGATATTTCACAATTTGCCCGCATACTTTTCTACAGGATGCAACCTTACACAACAAAGAATGTTCTACCCTCTTCATCAACTCATGCATCAAGAAAAACTCACAAGAAGTACATGGAGGCTATTGCAGACATGAAAAATGCCACCACTAAATCCGCAACATGGATCACTTTGAAAGAGGACGCACGTGAAGACAACATCACAAAGCTACTCCAGGAACATCCATTCAGTTCCACCAAATACATCTTCGAGTACATGAAGAACGGAATTAAACATGTCCAAATTCTCCTCGATGAAGAAGACAACCACGTGGACGACTCCAACAAACTATAAACCAACATTATGCTACTTATTTACAGGACTTTGCAACAATAAACGAATAAAGTACAATAAATCTCTTATATTTGTATTTTCATGCTCATATTGTTAATCGAAATATCAATGTTGCATTCAACCAAGTATCATCTAAACATATTGCCACCAATTCCCGCAGCAACGCGCGGGGAATTGTCTAGTATCCCTAATCCAACTTTACAGTTCCAAGCAAGGTGCATACAAGTTCACAGAATTCACAGAAGAACCAAGAGGTGCATACACTTGCCACTAGCTGGTTCACAGAATTCACAGAAAAACCAAGAGGTGCATACACTTGTCACTAGCTGATCCAATGAGAGTCTACCAAAATAAAGTACACGTTGACTTGTGAGTAAAATAACTGGCCATTCCAAACACCACAAAGGTGGCATAATAGGGCATCAGAAAGAGACAGCACAACATCTCTGGTACTGTCCGGTCGCAGTCAAGAGGTGCGTACAACTTCACTTAGAACCAGTTCACTTGTCAATAGCTGGTCAAATGAAAGTCTACCAAAATAAAGTACAAGTTGACTTGTGAGCAAAATAACTGGCAAATTGGAACACCATAAAATAAGGTGCCATAATACGGCATCAGAAAGAGACAGCACAACATCTGGTACTGATTACTTCCTTCTGATCAATTGTTTTCTCTTGATCAATCAGACGTGTGGCAGAGACCACATGCTTAATTCCCACCGGTTTCATGCTCTTGCTGGATGTTTTCTCAGTCTTAACCTGGACGGCAGTGATCCATAGCTGATTCTTGAGGGGGCGAGATTTAATTTGCAAACCTATATATATACAAGAGCATTAGAGGCCATGGCATCTTTTTCATGAAATGCATGAGAGAGAGAGAGAGAGAGAGAGAGAGAGAGAGATTCACCTTGCACCACCCAAAACAAGATGGCACCTGAGCTGACGTCTTTTCCAGCATAATCCAAACACATTCTTTCACTCTGCCAATCTTCACTCTTCCATGAGAATGGGAAAAAGATTGGGTCCTTGAGGTACACACAATGATTTTCAGAGAGTAGTTCATAAGCAGCAAGCCCATTTCGTGAGCATGTGTAGATAAAACCATCAACAAATACACATCTGCCATTTAGGAAGGAGTATCTGGACATATCCCTTGGCAGGCATTCTCCCAAAGGAGCCCAAGGCATGACAACATGCCACTGCTTGGCATTCAGGTCAAACCGAAGACAAGAACATGTGACAGTATCACAGACTATAAAGGAATCATCACCCACTACTACATATCCGGACAGCTTAACCTTCCTGTCAAGAAGGTGAGACCGATCTGCGACGCAGCGTACCCATGAGGTCGATCCAGTAGGGCGAATAAGGTGGGACTGACGATAAACGTGGAGAGTTTCAGTAAGAGCAAGAGTCGCGCGACCAACTTGGATAACCATTACAAAAGGATCAAATGGAGAAACAGGCCGCCGTGCAAGGTGATCGAAATCCTGACGTCTGGTGTCGAGGTTAAGCACATGCATGCCATCTTTCAGGAATGAGACGGCACATAGTTCTGAGCTAGTGAGAAAAAAGTGCCTCTGACCATCATCATCTCCATGTACAATGTAATGCGGTTTGAGAGGAGGAGCTATTCCTAACCTTGGAATCAGATCCATGAGACTGGTTTTATAGATAAATGATTGCGAACCAGCTTGGCAGATAATAAACAATAGATGTTTGTCCATATGTGGCTTCACATAGGGAGAAGGAGGACCTCCTGGGAAATGATGCCTGCATGCAAGAAGCAAAATATGTCATGCACAAGAAACCTGAAATGAAATATCTAAGCCAAGCTCAAGCTTGTGGATCAAGACCTGCAACGATCATGAAGCAGTACTCCCTCTTCATGGGCTTGAGGCGGCAGCGCCTTGTCATCCTTATACTCTCTAAGTGATAGATAAGTGAACAGAAGATTAATTTGTAAGCAAGATGGCCAAAAAGAATGCATGGATTAATGGTCAAAATGAATGCATGGATTCAGTGGACTTACTGGAGAAAGCAGAATTCAAATTCATCAAGGTGTTTCATAGGCAACAACATGTCAACCTGGCGGGAGGTGGAGTGCAGGAGCTTGAGATCCGAAGGCTCAGGACCAAGGTGGAAGGTGGTGATAATGGCGTGTAGGTGGTCACGCCAGCATGAGAGCCCCACACAGATCCAGACACAGCACATGACCCCGCGGCCGAGATGGGTGAGGAAGCTATGCGCCGTGTTTCTTGTAACAGAAGGAAAGCAAATCTCCACAGGGGGATCCAGCTTCAGAGTTGTCTCTTCATGCCCGACCTTGAGCTTGTATGCGTAGATGACATTTTTGCGAACCATGTAAACAGCATTGCTTTCTTGTGCATACACCCCACGGCCAAGGATAGGGACGTAATACTTGTCCTCTGAGGTGTGGGTTACCTTGGTCCAGCCTGAATTAGGGGCGGAGCAATTGAAGGTGAAGAAAAGGCGGTTTCCGAGGGAGAGCAGGATGAGCGTGCCCCCGTCAGGGCCCTGGCCAGGGAGTACTGCGTAGCCCTGGAGCAAGTCAGGACTCCACATGGGGTGGGAGAGCTCGACTTTGCAATGTTGGATGAAGGGGCCGCCGACCTGCTCCCAATGTTGTCCCGCCACGCCCTCTTCCTCTTGGATGACCAGGCGTTGCAGGACGAGACGGAAGCTGGTGGCAGAACAGTAGCTAGCGGACACCGCCCATATGTGGCCGTCGGCGGAGATGGGCACGCACCGGCCACGCATGCTTGGATCCAACGGGGGAAGCAGTACTTCGGCCGGCAGCTCCTCCTCGGCCGGCAGCTGAAGCTGAAGGGCCTCGGTTTGCGCCTTCTCGACCCGCTGCAAGAGGCAGAGCGAGCGGCCGTCAGATGCCATGGCTGCGCGGGCGCTCCGGCTGCAACCCTGTCGCTTCTTCAGGTCGTGGAAGATCTGGAGCGTGTCGTCGCTCCGACCGGAGATCCGCCCAGATCTCGCCACGCCAAAACGGTGGAAGCGTAGGCCGCCGCTCATGACGCCGACGAGTAGCAGCCAGGCGGGGCTCTCGTCGGCGTTGGAGGGAATGTCGACGAAATCCTTGCCGAGGGCGACCTCAAGGATCGGGGGGGTCGAGCGGTCAGGATAGGAGGGCCCCTCCGCTTTCCCCTCCGCAGCCGCCGCCATCTTCCCCTCCGCTTTCCCCTCCTCAGCCGCCGCCATCTTCCCCTCCGCTTTCCCCTCCGCAGCCGCCGCCATCTTCCCCTCCGCTTTCCCCTCCTCAGCCGCCGCCATCTTCGGGTTAGGGTTAGGGATTTGGGGACAAGTCGGGGGGAGGGGGTGTTGGGTTTGGCCGTTTGGGTAGTTGCCTGCTTGGGTTTTTTTTTCACGCAATACGCGCGTGCGACCCAGAGGCCAAAGCTGGTCAAACGGGCTGTTTTTTGACCAAAAGCTCGTTGACCAAAAGCTCGTTGCTCGCGAGTTTAATGAGCCCTCCACGGCTCGTCAAGCTCGTGGCTCGCTTTTTAATAAACGAAGCCAATTATTAATTTCATCTTGTTAAGCTTAATGAGCTTAACAAACGAGCTAATGAGTTTCACGAGTAGCTCATTAAGCTCGTTAGTAACAACATAACACATATTTTTATCTCACGTGACAAAAAAATTATAGCACCTCAACCCATCTATATATTTTATCTAAATAGGAAGCAAGAAACTAGTGCATTTCCTTTTGTAGTCACCATCTTCCTTCTTAAAAATCACATCTACACACTCATTATGTAGACCTAACACATCAGAATCTGTTAACGAGCGCTCGCGAGCTTAACGAGCTTGAAACGAACCAAACCGAGTAGGATTTTATTAACAAGCTTAACGAGCCGAGCCTCAACGAGCGCGAACTTAATGGGTACGAGTTTAACGAGATGAGCAGCTCGTTAATCCACCCCCACCATCGTGGCGATTTTGCAGAAAACTCCTGCTGAATTACGTATCAATCTGTAGTCCTATTTAAGTTGCTTACTAGCAAGATGCCCGTGCATTGCACGGAACATCAAGATGCATTTTTTTTACAAAAACACATGTTGATTGACCCATGCAGGAGTAATTATATGTGTAAAAACTAATGATATCTCAAGAAAGAGGAGAGATAAGGTGAGGAGGAGTGGGGCTGGTGGTGATTGGTGGTTGGCAGAGCGGAGGCATGGGGATGGACGACGCCAGCAGCAGCCACCATGCCAGATTGTTCCAGAGGCTTTCTTTTTTAATTGCTCAACAATGAAGTTGTGGGAGATACGAATGAACGAGGGAAGATATTATTTGCAAATGTGGAGAGAGGTGCAGGCATCTTTTTGCAAAATTGCTATAGTTTGCTTTATATCCATCAGATATAGATCGAGCGGTCTATATTGTAAGATGGCAGGCACTGCATCATCACCAACTCAGGTTTTTATAAGAGTAGATATTTGAGTAAGATTCTCGTGCTACGCAACGGAATCATAAAAGACCGGCTGAAAATTGTTTACTTAAGTATCAGGAGCCTACTGAACAACAAAATCATCTAATTTGAAAAAAGTTCATCAAATTCATAAAAAAATCAATGAATTTGATTAAAAAAAGTTCACTAGCTTGAAAAAAGTTCATCATTTTTGAAGAAAAATTTCATGAATTTGAAAAAGGTTCATTGAACAAGGAAGAAGAAAAAATAAAAGCAAAAAAGAAAATAGGAAAAAGAAAAGTAGAAAGAAAGAAAGAAGGAAAAGATTGAAGTAATCACGTGATATTTGGTATTGGGGATGGTTAGTGCATCGTACTTCAAAGCAGTAGCTCACTGGTTCAGTGAAAGGTGTCGTGAATTCACTAAGGGACCCTCACATGATGAGAATAAGGTGTCGCAAATCCACCAAGGGACCCTTGAGGGCGATCACAGAACCATTGCAAATGGAGACCTTGAGGGCGGTTACCAAACCCATACAAATTGCTCAGAGCAATCTCCACAACTTAATTGGAGGCTCCTGAAGCTTGCCCGAAGCTTTACACCATATTGATTGAGCTTTGAGACAACACAAACAGTCTAGGGCGCACAAGCAACCAAGAGTAACAAGTTCTAGGTTGTCCAAACACCCAAGAGGAATAAGTGTTTCAACTTTCATTTCCACGAATCACCATGGAGAACTTAAACCGATGAAACTAATGCAATGGCAAAAACACACGAAGTGCATGATACGTCTCCAACGTATCTATAACTTATGAAGCATTCATGCTATTTTATTATCTATTTTGAATGTTTACGGGCTTTTATTATACACTTTTATATTATTTTTGGGACTAACCTATTAACCGGAGGCCCAGCCCATATTGTTGTTTTCTTGCCTATTTCAGTGTTTCGAAGAAAAGGAATATCAAACGGAGTCCAAACGGAATGAAACCTTTGGAAAAATTATTTTTGGAACAGAAACAATCCAGGGAACTTGGAGTGCAAGCCAGGGAAGCTTCGAGGAGGCCACAAGATAGGGGGCGCCCACCCCCCTGGGCGCGCCCTCCACTCTCGTGGGGCCCTCGTGGCTCCCCCGACCGACTTCTTTCGCCTATATATTCCCATATACCCTAAAAACATCGAAGCGCAAGATAGATCCGGAGTTCCGCCGCCGCAAGCCTCTGTAGCCACCAAAAGCCTCTTGGGAGCCCGTTCCGGCACCCTGCCGGAGGGGGAATCCCTCACCGATGGCCATCTTCATCATCCCGGCGCTCTCTATGACGAGGAGGGAGTAGTTCACCCTCGGGGCTGAGGGTATGTACCAGTAGCTACGTGTTTGATCTCTCTCTCGTGTTCTCTCTATGGCACGATCTTGATGTATCGCGAGCTTTGCTATTATAGTTGGATCTTATGATGTTTCTCCCCCTCTACTCTCTTGTAATGGATTGAGTTTTCCCTTTGAAGTTATCTTATCGGATTGAGCCTTTAAGGATTTGAGAACACTTGATGTATGTCTTGCCGTGCTTATCTATGGTGACAATGGGATATCACGTGATCCACTTGATGTATGTTTTGGTGATCAACTTGCGGGTTCCACCCATGAACCTATGCATAGGGGTTGGCACACGTTTTCGTCTTGACTCTTCGGTAGAAACTTTGGGGCACTCTTTGAAGTACTTTGTGTTGGTTGAATAGATGAATCTGAGATTGTGTGATGCATATCGTATAATCATGCCCACGGATACTTGAGGTGACAATGGAGTATCTACGTGACATTAGGGTTTTGGTTGATTTGTGTCTTAAGGTGTTATTCTAGTATGAACTCTATGATGGATTGAACGGAAAGAATTGCTTCATGTTATTTTACTACGGACTCTTGAATAGATAGAACAGAAAGGATAACTTTGAGGTGGTTTTGTACCCTACGATAATCTCTTCGTTTGTTCTTCGCTATTAGTGGCTTTGGAGTGACTCGTTGTTGCCTGTTGAGGGATAGTTATATGATCCGATTATGTAATTACTGTTGAGAGAACTTGCACTAGCTAAAGTATGAACCCTATGACTTGTTTCCTACCATTGCAATACCGTTTACGCTCACTTTTATCATTAGTTACCTTGCTGTTTTTATATTTTCAGATTACAAAAACCTATATCTACCATCCATATTGCACTTGTATCACCATCTCTTCGCCGAACTAGTGCACCTATACAATTTACCATTGTATTGGGTGTGTTGGGGACACAAGAGACTCTTTGTTATTTGGTTGCAGGGTTGCTTGAGAGAGACCATCTTCATCCTACGCCTCCCACGGATTGATAAACCTTAGGTCATCCACTTGAGGGAAATTTGCTACTGTCCTACAAACCTCTGCACTTGGAGGCCCAACAACGTCTACAAAAAGAAGGTTGTGTAGTAGACATCAAGCTCTTTTCTGGCGCCGTTGCCGGGGAGGCTAGATAAACGGCACTCACACCCCGTCAACCAAGCTCTTTTCTGGCGCCGTTGCCGGGGAGGTGAGTGCTTGAAGGTATATCTTTAGATCTTGCAATCGAATCTTTTACTTTCTTGTTTTATCACTAGTTTAGTTTATAAAAAAACTACAAAAAAATGGAATTGAGTTTGCCTCATACGCTTCATCTTTTTAATATCTTTCGTGAGAATGATGAAAAGGAAAATTGTGCTCAATTCCTAGAAGAAGAATGCATTAAAATGCTTGGTACTAAATCTTTGAATGATGAGCATGATTGCAATGTTGTTAGTACGAATTCCTTGAATATCCATGATGCTAATGATATGCAAAGCCACAAGCTTGGGGAAGCTATGTTTGATGAATATGGTATTTTTAGTACCTCCAAGTTTTGATGAGAATATTTATTATGATGAAAGCATGCCTCCTATTTATGATGATTATATTGATGAAAGTGGGTTTGGAAGAGTGTCAACTTTAAGAAGTAATGGTCCCACTATTTTGTAGGATGTTGAATATTATTGTGATAGTTATGGAAGTGGATTTGGAGAGGTCATGACTTTATTTAGTGATGAATCCACTATTTCGGAAGAGGTTCCAATTGATTATGAGAACAAAGTTGCTATCTATGATGATTATTGTGATGACTTTTATGCTATTAGTAATAATGATAACCATGAAACTTGTCATCATGATTTTAGTTTTCAATTGGATTATGCCTCACATGATAATTATTCTGTTGAGTTTGCTCCCACTACTATTGATGAGAAGAAATTTGCTTATGTGGAGAGTAGTAAATTTTCTATGCTTGTAGGTCATGAAAAGAATGCTTTAGGTGCTGGTTATATTGTTGAATTTATTCATGATGCTACTGAAAATTATTATGAGGGAGGAACATATGCTTGTAGAAATTGCAATAATATCAAGTTTCCTCCCTATGTGTTGAAAATCTTGAAGTTATGCTTGTTTTATCTTCCTATGCTAGTTGATTATTGTTCCCATAAGTTGTTTGCTCACAAAATTCCTATGCATAGGAAGTGGGTTAGACTTAAATGTGCTAGTCATATGCTTCATGATTCTCCCGTTATGTTTCAATTCTTATCTTCTATGTGAGCATCATTGTCATCATCATGCCTAGCTAGAAAGTCATTAAAGAAAAACGCTTGTTGGGAGACAACCCAATATTTACCCTGACTGTTTTTGTGTGTTCACATGATTATGCTACTATAGTAATCATGTTTTATAGCTTTTGTTTTAATAAAGTGACAAGTAAGACCTTTTGGATAGCTTACGGTGATAGTTGTGTTGATCCTGCTGAAAATTAAAAACTTTTGCACCCAGTAAATTAGTTTT